GGGGCCGGGGGGGGCGGGGGGGCCTCTCGGGGCGCCCGGCCTCGCGCTCGCCCTCGGTGCTCTCCACCGTCATGCTCAGGCCGCCCGACGCGCTGCTGCTGGTGGAGGTGTTGCGCCGGTGGGTGAGGTCCGACATGCTGGAGGAGTGCGAGTGCTCCGTGCTGTAGCCTGGGGGACACGGCAGGGTCAGAGGGAACACAGCGCACTTCCAGCCGCACTCAAGCCTGACTGCTGAAGACCCACACGAGATCCTGCCTTAACTGCACAGGAACCCTGAGCAGTCCAAGCACTCAGAATTCAGATCTACTCCATGCCAATGTAAACAGCACTTGTGCTGAATGTCAGATCAAAAAAGAAGAATAAATAAAATGCTGCACACAAAGGGAGGGAATATTTCACAAGTCTACACAAGTCTCATCTGAATCGCACCCCTCTGCTTCCTTATTTTTACGAACAAACACCTTAACAGGCAGGACTTCAGTTTGAGGTCTCATCCAAGCACCACTTACAGCAGTGGCCCTTGGGTTTGGACACTGTAGTCCAGTGGAAAGATCGCCTCCTACTGGTCTAACGTCACCACACCAGGTTACAGCAGGAACCTGGTGTCCCATCCCAGCAGTGAGCAGGCCCAGCCTTGCTCAGCTAAACAGGTCTCGGGCTTGATCGGTGTTAATGCTTCCACAAGCCTGCAGAGCTCACAGTACTAGAGGCATGTGTGCACAACAACTGAACTGGAATTTCAACTGAATTACAAAATTAAGTAGGAAAACACTATTTAAACTGTGTGTGTTGAAATGGTGTGTCCATTGATGACTGCCCAAGCTGGTACTGAAGCAGGAGTTCAGCCCGATATCGGGTACCTGATATCTTGGACTGCTGGCTGGCATAGCTGGAGTTTCGGGAATGGCCCGTGTGGAACACCTCATCTGGGCTGGACAGGTTCTGGTCCGACTCCTCGGGCAGACCTACAGAGCACAACGCCTTGTCAGTCAGACAAAAAAAGGCCCTTGAAACACAAAAGGGAGTAAAACTGTCTTAACTATCCCAGATCAGTGCAGAACAGGGAGATTTCACAGCTCTTGTCGACTTCACTGAACTAGTGAGGCTGAAAGCTGAGGATAATTGAATGTTTTATGTGTACATGTGCAGTTTCAGACAGACGTCGTGCCTGCTTGCATCTTTGAATTAGTTAATTCCCTACAACATTTAAATTACCACTTGCTAGGATAATTGAGCATCAGAACTCACAGTTTAGTAGTTTAACAATTAATTATTACACTTAAAGGGGAACTGCAGTCCCAATCTCTCAGAGCAGTTATTAAATCTCAGTAACAAAATAAATTCATTGATGGCATGGAAAAAATTGACCAATTGACAAAAAACTAAGCACAAAATGATGAACTTTGTGAAAATTCTCCATGTTGTTGCAAACCCCTGGTCTCACCACGGGCGAGAGCAAGAGATTGCGAGAACTATGACATGATTCAGCCCTTCCTGCTCACTAGTCCCTGTAATGACTGATGTTCTATGATGTACCAGCAAATAAGCACAGGTTGTGCAGCAGACATTTCACTGTGGAAATATTCCAATGTGATCTGCATGCAGAGTTAACAAGTAGTGTTTATTGGCAAAACCGTCTCAAAGTCAAGAGCAATACTTCTATTGGATTAAAAGAGGTGTTTTCACATGCCTGCTTGTTTACAGTGTCACAGGCCCGCTTCACCTCACCGGAAGTTTTGCTGCCTCATTCTGAATTGCAGAACATAGCCTGGAAATTTCGTCCGTTTTGTGGTGTTAATTGGAGGTTTTACAAGTTACGGTGCACATTTTACTTTTATTGTGGTTTGAAATGCCCTCATAATTGCTGATTCTTTCTAACCCTGAAATATAAAAATAGCCGTGCAGTTTCCCTTTAATAACATAGCATATAACCTTAATTCAGATGCAGGGAGTCACTGTTTTGTATCTGACACAATACATATAATGATTTCCTTATTGGTGTACGGCTTGTAACTGGCCTCTCAACTTCAGTCACGTACTCCGAGATGTTCAAACCACAAAAGGAGATACACGCCCTTCATGTGGATTAGCTGGTGGATTAATGGACAGTCCAGGATGGCAGAGGTGGGTGTGGTCTTAAAGGGAGCGGATTACAGCTGGCCAATAAAATGACAACAGCTGAGCTTTATAACAAGGAATTCTGGTATCTGGAGTTTATTCCTCATCGTGCATTGCCCCTTTAATCTTATGTGGATCAAACGTGCTTTGTTAATTAAAACCGCAAAAATCCATTAAATTAAGACAAGAGCAGCTGTTCTGAAGCGCTGGCTGTTCCGCTCTCTGAGATCGCTCGGCCCCGGAGTCGTCAGACTAGCTGGTGTGTGGTGCTCGTCGAAGGCCTGCTAACAGATACTTCAGCTGCAGGTTACCAAAAATCACACTGCCCACAGAGCTTAGAAGACCTGAACATTTTGTAGAACCCAGGGAACACCCGCAGGCCGTGAATTACAGCGCCTGGCTGCTGAACGCTGGGAACCAGGTGCCCCAATTCCAAGGGGGGCGAAGGCCGGCGTCTCCGCTGGCTGTGCGCCGGACCCCGTCTTACCCGAGCTGAGGACAGAGGTGCGAGACTTCAGCGGCCGGCCGGGGGCCATGCCCGAGGAAGGGGTGAGGGTGGCCCCGGTCCCCTCTCCTTTGCAGTCCAGCTGCAGGGAGTTGTCCTGTCCGGGGATGGAGATGGACTTGGCTGTGCTGGGGGGCCTGGAAAAGGAAGCAGGAAATACCTCATGGCCTGATCCCCAAAAATCACCTGCAGGGGTTACATCCAGCTCGACTGCCCTCAGAGCCCCACAAGCAGTTCGCACACAAGCAGAGTTCAGTCTGCCGTTTACCCATATAAAGGACATGCACTGAGACCGGATAGAGGGAATTCGCTGTAGGCCACACGCAGGGTAAGACTGGACCAGCAGGGGCCCGAGTCCGGCCAGACAGACGCCAAGCGACAAAGGGAAGTCGCGGGCTGTTGCCACGGCGAGCACCAGGGAGCTCAGCAGCCCTCGACGGCGACAGCGCGAGCTGACCGAAGTCCAGGCCGAGTCCCCTGCGCTGCCTGGCACCGGCCCTCCAAACCGCCCGCGCAAGCAAGGGCAAAACGGGACAGCACTCACGTTTTAAAGCAAGGATCTCCGGACAGCAGCGTCATCCCGATCGTAACCTGGAGGGCAGAAAGCAAGACGGGCGGAACTAGTCAGAACAGAAGAGTCACAACACGCTGCCTTGAACCGATTTCACCAGGGATTCTCCGTGAAACTCCCGAAAGGGTTTAGGTATGAAAGCGTAAGACCGCGATGTTGACGTGAACTCTGCCAGACGCAGGGGGAGGCGTCCTGACCTTCAGGATGGAGTTGTCCTGCCGGGTGTTCTTGGTGTCGTACCCTTCCAGTAAGCAGCAGCGCACAGTGGAGCCCGAGCCAGCAAACTCCGCCATGTTCAGGTCAGCAAAGCCGAGCTGCGGGAGGAGCAAGAGGGAGGGCGCAGGCCGTGACTGGGGGAGCCCCGGGCAGCAGGAGGACAAACACTCTACACCCCCCACCGAAGTCACAGTGGAAACTGGTTTAAATGGACAAACAGGTGGCATCTGTACACTAAGAGCAGCGGGTGGCAAAACAGATGGCCTTCCATTATACTTTTACCTTGGGGCAACAACAGCTCAATGACATCGCCACTAGCATCCAAGTAACCTAATATATCTGAACTGACTCTTTTGTATTTGTTCTTTGTGTTCACTGTGTTCAATCCAGTCTCTTTTTTTGCCAGTGCGTTTTACTACCTGTATACAGAAACACAAAACTGGATCTTTCTATAAGATCTTCAGTTTCCAAATAATAGCAGTGCAAGACCACTGAAAGCTACTGTACGCA